GATTTATTCATCTTCTCATCTCATCTTTCCTCCCTATTCCATACCCAGCCTCTAATGTGCCCTTCCATAGCCTAATTTCGGTATCTTGATAACACCAAGAGTTTCACTCATGTGTTTATTCCTGCGTCTTCAAAATTTATCCTCTTGAATATTCTCACCTGCTAGATCTTCCTATGTGGTTGATCCACAGTATTCAATCAATATCTGGGCGCATGGTCTTCAGCTTCTTGCCAAATAACCGTTGATCAGGGACCGTATCCTTTCGACAATTTAGACAAGTGTTATATTTTCGAATGTGATATCTTTGAACCATTCCCATTCTGTAGGAGCAATTACCCCTACTCGATTGTATTCCTTGCTTCTTTGTTCAAATACCTGTAGAACTAGTCCTACATTTGTTTGCCCTAAGCTCATTAGATAAAGGTCTACTGGCGGTTGAGGTAAATGATCAAATATGATTGGCAAGGATTCCACGTCTATAGAATAATCACCAGTCTTAGATCGTTGTAATTGAAGTAATTGTCCGCGGAGGTATATCCTCCCTGAAATAAGAGTTCCACGTGGGTCATTCCCTTCGGGAACAATACTGATGTGTAAAATTTCCGGATCGGCAATTCGTGAGTCTACTGGTACATGAACAAACTGTCCTCTGTTGGTCCTCGATTCGAAGACCCGATTTTCTCTTAGAAGACCATATGTTATCGGGACGTTCATCTTGGCCCAAGACCATGAAGGCCCATAATTATGTGTACTTTGTTGCCTCGCACGATTTGACAACCATTTCCAACATAAGCCTCTGATAACATCCTTTTTCCATAACCCAGCTACATATTCATCATGCAAAAGGTATGCGAATTCGAGAGCGAGACCAGAAAGTGCCGGGAACTTGTCGGAACGATGCGTGAGTTTACGGTTGTTATAATCCTGCACCATTTTTCGCCACAGTTCATGATACTTTTCAGTCACCATATCGTGGTGCGGACTACCCTCGTGGATCTTGTCGAGACACCTTACACTTGAGTTTAAGACATATCGAGATAAACTAGATTTCAAAGCCCATTGATTGTTATTCAATCCATGATTATGATCGGATATACGAGCCTCTCGGCACTCGAAAAGCAAGGTGTGTTTAGTGAAGTGTAAAATCCTGGGTGAAAGTTCACGCTCCTGTAGGGTCCAGCTTCTTTGAACCAGTGTACTTTTGTTATAAAGATTGTCCCATCCGGGATAGGGAGTCTTGAAAAGAATTCCAGGTTGGTTGGGAAATTGGGGAAGCAGTGGTAGCTCGCTATGTAATGCAAAGAGGCCCCCGTCACAGTTGGCTGCTGCCGCTGCTGCAATCGTGCAGTATGCATGGGAATAGATTTTCCCCATCTTAGCTGATTCTTGTTGCCAATCCTGCAAAGAGTTTTGGACAATGCACAAAGAATCAATCCATAGATATTGTAGTCCAAGACGTCTTGTAATAGTGATCGCATCGCGAAAAGTTCGAGGCAGCCTTTTGAATGGAATTGAGAGCAGGCGCCGCTCAAGCGTTCTGATTTTTGTTGTCGCAGCCTCTGGCATTTCTCTTCCCCAACAATGTGTCAAGGCAAGGTACTTTGTGTGACGATCATCGTTTTGCTGCGTCTCCACTAGTCGAGGTGGTGTGCCATAACTCCCAACATCAATGAGTCGACGAGGCCGAAACCCGGTATCGTAATGTATATTACAGCTTATATGCTCATTAATACAGGTTCTAATCCATGATGATATGATAGAGGTAATGTTCTGATTTTTGGGGAACAAAAGGCTGGAGTTTAAGTTGTCTGAAAGATGTGAGATTGGTGTGCAAGAAACCCCTAATAGAGAACGAGATCGACTGACATCAAAAAAGGTTTCTCATACCCGTAGTTTCTATATCGAACACATAAGACTGCCCATCCCTTCCCACTTGGTAGGAAATAAGATTCCGAAGAGAGGTAGAAGCTCCTTGCCTTCGATCGATCTTCAAGTAAGTCTTCTGGCCTTCGTGACGAGATAGAGTGGAAGCAACAGCACTATGGAAAAGGGCACATATGTGACAGTTTGTTGCAGATATCTCGAGACCTTTCACTGAAAGATGATGAACATGTGAAAATTCCTCAATACCTCTGTTAAGGAACGGCTCTGCAGGAATGGCAAGACACAAGGCACAAATACCCATGGTTGGAGGTCGGTACCGAGTGGTGTCACTTTAAGCTTCTTCGGTTACGATGTATTGCATGTGCAAATTAGATTGATCATGGAAACAAGAATGCAAGATTAACAAAGTCTAGCATGGTAGGTGGGGCAAATTTCACACGTGATATCACAGTGAGCTTTATGTGAAATGAATGCTTTGGTATGAAGGAGTAAGTTTTATCAGTCGCATGTGAAAATCGATGAAACATGTAGGTAGGTAGTGCCGGGCATATGACAGTGACAACTATCAGAAACGGAAGTGATGTAGTTGAGACTATGGTTTAGCCATACCAGTTCGAAATACAAACTTACCAGTCTGGATTAAGGAAGGTGCATTCGTACCAACGCCATACATCCGAAGCTCTTTCCTTTTCTTAAAGATATTGACGCGTTGTTGCTCGGAGTTGCCGAACGGTATGATTCCCTATCCGAGATCCCTTATTCTCAAATCCATAATCCGTATCATCGGATTCAATACCTAGAAATATCATAACCTATACCCACCTATCTTTTCACGCCCCTTCTTGTATTCTTATACCACCATCAAAATGAGCTGGCAAAATGATTCTACTTACTCCCGGCATGAGTTTTCCAGCAAGGCTGCCACACCTTCCAGCTCGTCCTTTGCTTCTAACTTCTTTCGACGAGCCCGCCGAGCATCTCTCACAAGAAACTTCAGAAAGTCTGTATCCTTCGCAGATCCTCTTGAACCAGAAACCCTCCAAGACAGTGGCTCCGAGAATAGTGAGGTACTATATATGGCAGATTCGAAACGACCAGAAGCACAGCGTCGGACCTTGTCGGCCATGAGCAATAGCTCTCTTGCAACTCTCGGTCAAAATTGGGATAGCGAGATTGATTCTGATCTCGACAGTGAGGCCGAGGAAGTTTCTTGGGATATCATCAACAAAGAAATACAAGAATGGCAATATGTTTGTCGTACTGGTAGGCCTTTCTGGTGGCCACCTGAGTTCAAATGTACCCGTAAGTCTCGTACTTCGACGCTATCTCCAAAGAATTATGAAGAGCGCAGCACGCGAGCTTGGATGAGAGATGTTGCAGACGACTCCAGACCGCACTTAAAGAAACGTTACGCCACCATGGACGATATCAATTTTACAGATGCCAGCGACGTACAAGAACTTGCAAAAGTGATTGCTGTCCAACTTCTCGGAGCTTGTTTCACTTTAGCACCAGAGTATCTTGTACCTCTTCCATCAACTCCAACTTCATATAACAGGAAAGGAGACTCGAAACTACCAGATTCTAGGATGATAAGTTCTTTGCGTATGCACACCCAATTTCGATATTCACCTTGCTTTGGACATCAAGCTCGATGTACATCTCCGATCCAAGCATGGGATTGCGGAGGGTATGACGGATCATCGACTTATTCGTCGTCACCTCCGTGCAGTGGTGATGCTACGCCGTTGAGTATCACGTCAGAACCTGCAAGAAGACGAAGTAGATTACAGAAACTTCACAGAGCATTGAATACCTCAGATCAATCGGTATGCGATTGCACTGTTGGGTGCCATAGAAGCGATCATTCTTCAAGTGTCAATTCCACATTCAGTGGCAGAGTGGGAACGTCGATGAGCCAAAAATTGAGAGACGGGCATACAATCGAATATGGGAAGATGTCGACAACAATGCACGTGTCCAGAGCTAATAACCGAAGACACAAACCTATGCATTCAATGGTCAAAGATATACCAGAAGCAATACCACCAATACCGGCTGATGATGCAAATATCGATACCTCGAAGATATATCGAGGAGTACGGCCAACTCTGCCGCATAGGACCAATTATCGCCTACAGCCAGTCCTCAGGTCAGAGTCTCATCCAGTCTACGTGCAGCCTGTAAGAGAACTCGTAGTAAAGAGATGGAAATCAATAAGGCGCCAGTTTGGGGGTAGCTTGCAAGCTTCTTTACCAAGAAGAGGATCTAGAAATGACGAATCAGAGTCAGAAAGTGATGCAACAAGTTCCGCACTCAGCACGGATGCAAGGGCACGGAGACGTCGAGCTCAAGAGAGGGGAGACATTCATAGTGCCGGTGGTGATGATAGCCCGCACTACAACACCCCAAGAAGTGGTGCGATAACACCTGCAATACCTATGACACCGCTGACACCACTGACTCCCTTGACACCATTTATGATCCCTACAACGCCTCCTGCGACACTTGTGGCCCCTTCGTTACCAGGTTTAAGACCGATGTCTCCTTTCTTTAAGGGGGCAGATACTATGGCAGGCGTCACGTCTTTTCTAGCTGATGCACGTCAACCAGAACATGTCATGATTCCACCCGATTCGTTCAAAGAGACAGGTGGCTATGTTTCACCAAATATGATAAGAACAGAACATGCTGCAGGAGCAATGTTTATTCAATCGAGATCAAGTTCTCAGCCACCTCTAGAGCCAATAGCCGGTTCATATCGAGGAAGACGAACAAGTCTATTATCAGAGGTGTGCACTCCAGAAGACTTCAATGACGATGGGACCTTCAAATGTGATGAAGAGAAAGAATTTCAAGGACCTCATCTGGCAAGGGCGAACTCCAGTAGAACTCAGATATTCAGACCCGGTAGTGACGGAATCGAACTTGATGGAAGGCCGGTCGGTCCTGGAAAGGAATTTTGGGATGGCCCAGTCGACAATATGGGAAAACGAAGGGAAAGGACATACTTGTAAGACCCAAAAACAGTCGGCGATTCCTAAATCGTAATCAATGGTCAAATTGAACCAACAAATTATTGGGAAAAAGGAAATAATTACAAAATTGGAATAGTAAACCATTGAACCTGCCTTGGGTATCTTTATATTCTTTTGTTACAATGCAGTGCCTATTCTGCCGCTATGCATCAATAATAATACATCTTTAGTGCCGAGTTCCAAAACGCCTCCGTACAATTGCTTCCTGTCTATGCGCCCAAGTCCAGATCCAAACGACAAACCGATAGCACCCTCTTCTCTATTCTTCAACCAGGGTTAATATTCTCATCTGCCTTTACTCCCATACCAACCATCTCATAATCTCCAGCACCGTCTCTCCCTCTACCCCTTCCTCTGCCCCTTCCATATCCTTGTTCTATATCCTTTGTAGCGTCATCTTCTCCTTCCATGCCGGCACTAATATCTCTCTCCATACCAGTACTATCTGTAACAGTATTCGTATTGTTTTGAGCAGTATTTGTATTCGTACCAAAATTTATAGGGCGCAATTCTCGCCATTGACAACTCCATATGCCTAAGAAGGTCATGAGAGACGCAGATGCGAATTGTAAAGCCCACCAAAGCCAATTGCGGGGGACGGAGTGCGAATAGAAGGACGTGATTAGGAGATGCAGGAAATGGATGGTTATGGCGAAATCAGGGATAAGTTTGGAGCGCGAAACAAGAAGGAGGAGGGAGATAACTCTGTTCTTTTTGTCAGTCCCATGGGGGGAAGAATCAATGCAAGACAACAACAAACCCTATAAAACTATTCAACATCCAAACAAATCCTAACATCCAGCCAACAGTTGTATCACCCCTTAAACTCCTCCAACTCAGTACCAGATCGAAAGAAAAGGCTTTCCCAGCAACCAGTGCGGTGAAGAGTATCAAGGCCGTCCCGATAACATACCAGAGCACTTGGAGGATTATAATTTGGCTGAGGATCTTTAAGGGTGGTAACTCGGAAATGGCGCCGGCGCGCGGCGGTCTTCTTCGTCGTGCCATATGTATGGATAAAGTAATTAGGTATGCGCACTTGCTACCTTAATGCGAAAAAATGTTTGAGCATTTCTATATTGATATTGTAGCAACTGGTTTCGAGGCTGAGCTCATGTACCGGTCATCGTATCTAGTGGCCAGAATAGAGATGGGGTTTACTTAGTGACTTTTGTCATGCGTTTATCAATGATTACTAAGCATTCTAATTTGGGATCACAATTTTCGGGATTTTGGGGGTGAGAGGCTGCTCTGCTCGCCTTGAAAAGTCTTACGCAGTACTTGGATACCAAGTTGTTACAGATTCATCCATCTAACTGACAACTTCTTTCTTGTTAAGAAGACCCATGAAGGACATAATAGGTATTCTACTCGAGTACTACTATTGATGTCATAAACATACTACTTTACTAGCCTTGGAGCTATTTGCGGTAGCTTGGAAGCTTGCCTGACTCAGCACGCGGATCTGCCGGCGCGACTATATCGCGTCCCGTCCCCTTGTGCTAACGTTTTTTATTGTCCTATTTACCTTTGTACATTTTTTTGATAGCAAATTTACCAAGTATAGTATCACTGTAATCTCAAGGGTCTCAGATATCTAAACCACGCCAAGTATCATGGTCTTCGGTAAACTCTTCAACTCTCTACGCCCAAAAGCTTCTCGAAATAGATTGAATACAGAGTCAGATGAAGGGGAGTCGGCCTACTTGAAAGCCGAGTCAGATGCAGGGAGTACCGTCAATACTCTAAGATTTAAACCATCTCGGAATAAATTGAGAAAAGAGCAGCCCAATCGTCCGAAGACCGCCAATCCGAAAGGAAAAGGGGCTTCACAGGCCACTCAATATCTTCGCCCCAATGGCCGATCATTTGATGGTGCTGTCGATGAGCAAACTGGAGAGAGGGTCGATCATACCGCATTGCTCCACGGCTTAGCCCACGTGGGATCTTTTGATTCTATGCATGAAGCTTACGGTATAGATAATCCAGATCGGCCCCCCGGAGAGCTCGCGGTAGCCAGTTTACCTTCAAACATTTGGAAGTTTATTGCGGGATATCTTTCACCTAGTGATGCGGCGAGTCTTGCCTTCTCAAGCAAAACACTTCTCCTTCAAGTCGGACGTAAACCATGGCATGATTTGGATCATCCAGAAAACCATCGATACAGGATTGAATTTTTGGTTCACATGGACCGTGATCTTCCTAATCATCTTCTTTGTTTTCCCTGTGCAATCTATCATGTTCGCATAATACCAGGCGAAGAACGTCTGAAAGCTACACATATTATAAACCATCTTTTCGAATGTCCAAATGCTCTAACACAAGTCGCCCCAAGGACTCGACTAACTGTCGGTCACACTCTGCCATTTTCGTTTGTGCAGCTTGTATTACGATCAAATCGCTACTCTCCAAACCATGGAATTTCAGTTGAATCAATATCCAAACGCTGGAAAGATCCTCAACTTGGAGCCCAAGGCACAGGAGCCTGGTCACATCAAAGCCGATATTATGTTGACAAAGGCCATCTTCTCTTACGTGTTATCAGTCAATGCTTTCCAGAACCAGATCTCCCCATAAGTGCGCAGCGAAACCTTTTGTACTCTCGCGAGGACTACTTTCCATACTTCTCGGTCTGCGCTCATTGGAGAGATGGCGATCTCATGGACGTATGTAAATGTGCGTTGGGGCATATACCCAAACGCAGAGAAACAACGTCCTCAGCATTGAAACACAGTCCGAATGCTCTTTTTTCACTTGCAAATCAGAGGAGTCAAATGTCTTCGCAATGTTCTGTGTGTCAGCCATTGCGTCGATGTCCACGATGCCCAACAGAGTACTTGGTTGAACTGAAATTTGCTGAGGATAAAACCGATCAAGTCAACAGATTCAAGCAAGCTATGACTGTGACAAGATGGAGCGATTTAGGCAACGGAACTTCCCCGTTATCACTAGAATGGGCTACGATTAACGGTGGATTCGAGGGCTATGATTCATTCGATACCGTTAAAGGGCGCGCGATTTCTGGTATCTTTGAATCACAATTTGGTATTACACTTCCTGCACAGAGGATCCTGTCGCTCAATCCAAAGAATGAAGTAAAAGGAGAAGATGGTCATAATTGGTATTGAGAAGTATAGAAATATTGAAGTAATGTTGATTTTTCTAACTTCACGCCCGAGATACAGTGTATTCCGATTTAATTCAAGAATGAAGGAGCAACGGCACAATTTACTTACCCGAGAATTTATATGTTCTTTGAATTCGAATCTTAGAAAATATTATCATCTTAATTATGGATAGGACATTCGACACAAGAATGCCTGGTCACTTTTATACGTTATGCTGTCTGTCATACAATTCATGTACAATCCACACCAGCATTCAGTCAATCATATTTGGGGGCTAAATGTTGCGGGAATATAAACCCTGCTCAGATCTCAGCTGTCTTATGCAGAATTTGACATAAGCGACTGCTGTCAGCAGTGGCTATAATAAGTCGACTTGGATGAATAAATCTTTTGCGCCTGTATGATTTTCTCAAGAACATTTATTATTATCATGTCACCGAATCTTTGTGAAATATGTCAGAAGTTCAATCTTCGAAAGCTCTTTTTGGATTCCGCAGCCCAAAATGCGACATCAGCCAAGGGAGCAATAAGTGGATATCAAAGCGTTGATCTGCAGGTACGACCTGGTTTGCCGGAATTTTACAAACAGCATTCAAGCACCGCCGCTCTAAAAGCCTCTTCAGAAGCTGGATGTGAGTTTTGTGTTCTGATATGGACGACTCGACCTAAGAAGGAGCAAGACATAAATGTAGATAAATGGCTTGATGAGACTGGCCAGGGACAGATTTTTATTGGAACAGGAAGTTCTAGTGTCGCAAAAAGTGAGAGTCCTTACGTTCTGGTGTCCCAACGACCTGCAAATAGTTCTCCTCGAAATTTGTGCAATCTTGAAGTATTTGCAATTCCAGGTAGGCCCGGTTTCATTTTATAGCCTTCTTTCCCATGGCTTCAAACTTACTGAACCATTGACATCAGATAGTGCTGTACATCAGGAAAGCCCTTTCATTGGAAGGCCGATATTCGCGCAATCAAATTCTCCAGAGTGCTACAAACTGGCCAAACAATGGTTGAGAGTTTGCTCAAGAGACCATAAGGATTGCGGGCCCATCAAAACTCGATGTCCTACACGCCTCATTGATGTAGGCTCTTCAGACACTGATCCATTTTTGGATGAAACCCCCGATCGTGGTGAAGTTGAATGGGTAGCCCTTAGTTATCTATGGGGTGGCAATGGTTACCTGAAATTGGAACAGTCAACATATCAAAGTCTTAAAGGCGGTATTCCGGTGGAAGATTTTCCGGCTACACTACGAGATGCAGTTTTGACAACAAGGGAGCTCGGTTTGAAATATGTGTGGATTGATGCTTTGTGCATCCGTCAAGATAGCACAGATGATTGGAAGGCTGAAGCCGGCCGGATGAGAGATGTCTACGCAGGTGCGGCAATCACAATTATCGCAGCGAATTCCACTTCGACTAGCGCTGGGATGCATTTTCCTCGCCCAGACAATGTACAGGCGGTTGCACGATGTGAGTTACCTTGGGACTCCAATACCAGCGTCTCACTTCGGTTAGTATCTCACATATCTCGTCAGGCTGCTAAGTCTAGCTCTTGGTTCACTCGTGGCTGGACGTTCCAGGAAGGGTTATTGTCACCACGGGCATTATTATATGGCAGAGATCAAATGATATGGGAATGTGCCTATCATACAGAGGATGAGAGTGGCCATATCGGACTTTTGGATCAGAATTACGACAGTAAAGATCTTTTACACAAACTGCGGAAGAAGCAAACGAACAGAATTAGTCGCGCCATACAAATTTTGTCTTTACAAACTTATACTCTTTTTTCGGAAGTTGATAATTGTAGAGCCAAATTAGGCTATCCTTCTAAAAGACTTGCGACCGCAGGGATTAATATGCAGGAAAATTGGGGCATGGATCCGTATTTGAGATGGTCTGAAATGGTGCAACAGTTCTCAAATAGGAATCTGACATATATGACGGATGTTTTACCGGCTCTATCCGGTATTGCTCGGGAGTTCTCGATGATTACCAAAGATACTTACATTTCCGGGATGTGGAAATCTTACCTAATTCCTAGTCTACTTTGGAACAGGAGAGCGTTGAGAAAGATTAACAAAGTATCGGAGTCTGAAATTGACAACCAGTTCTTTACACATATTGATTGGAAGAAGCGTGAATCTTATTTAGCTCCTTCGTGGTCCTGGGCAAGCATCAATGCCGGAAGCGCACAACTAGAACCATACCCATTCGCGGATGCTGCTGTACATCAAATAGCAGCCTTAGTCGGTCTTCAACTTCATCATTCAGGGACGGATATATTTGGCCCCCTTGAGCCAGATAGCGCGTTGATCATGAAAGGAGTTCTATTTACAATCCACAACCTGGCGGATTATTACTGGAGATTTTCGGACCCCCCGGAACCGCTCCCCAAATTTCAAGAAAGGCTCAGTAAGGATAGTATGGAGAAGATTTATTCTGGATCATGGCCTGCACTTCAAGAGTACGTTCACGAATGGATAAATGATGCTGATCATGCAAGTTTTGAATTCGAGCAGCAACATATTCCACATTCAACCCAAGAATTCGGCGCTTTTCTCCTTGTGCACATCGAAGGCGTTTCTGAAGATAACAATGGTTTCAATTTGGACGGCACTTTAGCATTTCTTCTCGTCGAATCAACTGGAAATGTTGACAATGAATATCGGAGGGTCGGTGCAATTATGATTCAAAGATCTAAAGGATATCCTACAGGCAAACCGATCACGACACTTTCCGAGGCGAAGAAGGCAGAAAAAAGGGGTGTGTATTCTTGGACAGTACCGCCTGTTTCTTTAATGGAAAAACTTATCGCAAAGGTATGGCAAGAGAGACCAAAAAAATTCCCAAACCGAAGCACGATCCGTTTAGTATAAAGGACTATCTTTCCAGAGCGTCTTTGCAGATCGTCTGAGGCTAAACGCTTTATGGTTTACTCGAACGATTCCAAGGTTTGCTAGGATATCAATTAAGTGTGGCGACACCACGGCAGGGGGATCTAGTAATGCCATGGAAACTTCCCCCATATAGACATATGAGTAATATGACCTGCACCTCAAAAAGGATTTTATAAGCAAATGATTGGGTATTCAAATTGATTTGGAATATAACATGCACTTGGATTTCCGAAGTGATCTAGAACACTAACGATATTTGATTGTCAAATCCCACTTCGGATTTGATCATGGAAAGAATTTGATTGTCAAACTTGAAATACTTGAGCAGAACATTGATTATAAGGTTTGCTTAGTGTACAGCTCATTTCGTCCATCGCCCCCCGAATAGATATAACCCCAGCCGGATAAAGAGACAATTAAGACCCACGGGACTTATTAATTCCTATCATGGTTCCATCATCCAGGGCCCTGAATGTCAAAAGTCAAATACAGTGATGTTTTTGAGCCTTGACTATGAAACGCCCCTGTAAAATAAATGAAATTGATTGAAATCCATGCTATTGCTATCCTCTATTAGACGAGATTTCTGGAGGTAAGAAGTGGTTACGCCTCTTTCATGGGATGTTAGCTTTTTTGTTATTTTGGATCCCCGTCTTAAGCCCGTTAGATGTCAACGTACATCTCATCATTATCTCATATACGACCTGAATAGCTTGAACTGGCACAAGCATCAATAACACCCGTGGACATGTTGCCTTTCCCGTTGTAGACGTTACCAGACTGGCGACTCCAGCAGAATTCTTGGATTCCGTTCCGTCTCAAATATCTATCATTGATCCCATTGGCTAGTAGGTCCGTCATCAGGGGGGCCGTGCCCAATTCAAGACACTCCATCGTCTGGTCTAAGGCTGAATATCATCACACTACTCAAGTAGATCTAGAGGCAATTCCTAGAGACAATTGGATACTCACTACAAGTCAAGCAATTCACAGAAAAATCATTGTATTCAATGGCGCTTAATACTCCCATCGGGTACATCGTCCAATTTCAAGCCTCAGATGGAAGCCCAATTGATGGCAACACAATTATTACTCCTTACAACAATAAAGCTCAGATGAACCCCTCGGCCCAGCTGAATGGTAATTCCGGAAGACAAGCCAAGAAGCGGCCTAACCTCCCCAAGGTTCGATCCGGATGCGTAACTTGCAAGTAAGTCGATGCTTCGTCGACACTGTGAGGCTTGATGACACTAATACATCTGCATTGAAAGACGAAGGAGAATCAAATGTGACGAGCGAAAACCCGAATGCAATCGATGTCAGGTGTTTGGCGTGGCATGTGAAGGATATGGTGTTCGTATCTCTATAAATCGACGTAAACCCGACCCCAAACCACTTCTCCCTCGCACTGATGAGGTATCGCCAATATCATTATCGCCTCAATCATCTCATTCACAACAACTCTCGCCACATTCCTCGCCGTCGATGAGATTGCCCTTCCGGGATGAATCGGAAGAACGATATTTTCGAACATATCTAACTAAAACAAGCATATCCGTGACTTGGAGTCGAAGTCGCGTCTTTTCTTCGTCTCTATGGGATCGCATCATTATGCAAGCCGCGCACGATGAATCTTATCTTCGGGAGATGCTAGTTGCAATTGGTTCATTTGCTGAGTCCAAAGATGTCCAATCGAGGGGGTACGCGGATGAAGCAGTGCAGATGCGAGTTTTTGCTGTCAAGAAATATGGGCTTGCCCTTCGTTCGATGAGTGTTGGGTTGTCCAAACTAGAAACCAGTGAAGGTCCAAGGAAGGCCTTGATCGGTTGCCTTTTAGTATGTTGTTTTGAATGGTTGTTAGGAAATGACTTTACTGCTCTGTCACATGCTAGAAGTGGTATTAAAATACTGCGCCAGTGGCTAAGAAATTATAGAGGTAAAAATTACAAAGCAGGTATCTGTTCTCCGGACTCTGGGATGATTGAGGACGAATTAGTTCAAGCCTTCCTTAGGCTTGACAAACAAGTTGCAACATTCGGAGACCCTGGAACAAGTGAAGAGCACAGGGAGACAATATTCGAATCAATCGGAACAATACAAGACATGCCTAGCATATTCCCTGACTTACAGGAAGCCCGGTTATATCTGGAGCTTATCGAGAGACGATCAGTACATCTTGGATACCTAGCAGCTGAATGTGCCGCTGCCGCCGCCAGCAATACCGATCCTTCCACTGCAGTCGTAGCAACGAATTGCTCTGACGAGGACTATAGACTGCCTGAAGTAGTAAATGTAAAGGCCCTCAAATACGAAATCACACAATCACTTATCAGATGGACATCGGCCTTCGATTTGTTCTGTTCTAAAATTCCACCGCTTGACACCGATCAACTTGCCGGCGCTAATCTGTTAAGATCGCAGAGCATCGCGATGGATATAATTATGAAAATTGCGCCAGGTGGTCCGCCGCCAGATCACGAGGCAATCATTCCGGAGTATCAAAGGATATTGGCTATTACTGAGGAAATTCTTGATGAAACAAAAGAACAACGACAACCTGGGAATTTTAAATTCGAACAAGGTGTCATAATGCCTTTGCATATTGCCGCAAAATGGTGCCATGACCGTACGATCCGGAGAAGGGCAATAGAACTTTTGAGATCGTACCGAGATAGTGATGGGGAACCGATGAGAGAGGGAGTGTGGGATAGCGAAATGTTTGCAGAATGGGATGAATGTGCATCAGAGGAGAAAGAAGGTTCGGTGTGGGGAGATGGCTCGGAAAGGATTGGGGATGGTCATATGCGGAATGCGGCGAAGGATAAAAATCAAATTTTTAGGTTGAATGGATCGGTGAACTGGGAGAGGAGGTCCAGTAGTGGAAGTTCGAGGAGTAGTTTGGGACGGATAATGAGTGGTAGTCCTAAGAGTGATATGGGACGGGGATCAAGTGGTAGTCCTAGGAGTGAACACGGGCAGGGAAGGACGGGGAGTTGTGTGGAATTGGGGGATGTGGAGGGTTGGGTTGAGGAACTGCCCGTTAGAGCATCCCCTTGAGAGATGATATGGGTGATATCAATGTATTTTAAAACTAGCAACATACTGTAGGACTAATATGTATAAGCAGAACAGCTAAATGACACAATAATAAAGATATGTAAGTATCTTGTCTAGGTACATTCAGAAGCGCACGCTCTGTTGCGTTGCCTGAGAGAAACTATTAAGATGAGTCACACGTCATGAAAGAGATTGCCCCAGCATCTTAGGGTTATATATTCTCTAACGAGTGTTTCGATTAGTTGACTATGTACATAATGCGTAATTAAAAGGGCTCATAAGCTATGCATCATCGAAGTTGTTCGATCATTCATCCTTTCATTCTAGAAAACATTAAAATAGTATTAAAAACACGAGAAGTGTGAGTTTCTGTCATGAAAGCCTTTTTCCGGCGAATCTCTGTAGATTGTTGCGCGACGAGAAAGAGGAGGGGTGGGAATTGGATGTTGAGATAGGGAATGGGAATGCAAGCGTACGTAGATACCTTGAGTATGATTCTTGAAGTGTATCCATCACTTCTGGGATATAATGAGAGGGTAAAGTTTCAAGAATTTGATATCCTGAGATTTATAAGATAAATCAAGCATTGCGGATTTCGCGACAGCTGAATGCGGCGCGAGGTAAATACAACCAAAAATACTCACTTATGCTCTTTGTGAGACAAACTTCAAACCATTGGCTGTGTAATTTGAGAGGATAGTAGTAGTAAATTCTTAATCGATTCAGTCGATTTAGTCTATCTATAGCTAAGCTATCCTAACTATATAATATATCTATATGATGCTAATTATATAAAGTAAATGGGAAAACAAAAGAAAAACCTACTCCCTTTCGAATGATTTCTAAATCTATTATTATAAAACCTTTATAGTCTTTCTATTTATTTCCCTATAATTCCTATAATCTTCTACTTCTTATATCTATTTCTATTATCCCTTTCTATTCTATTCATCTCTTCTCAATATCAAATCCTATAATTAATATATTACTACCTTACTATAAAGATATCTTCATTCTCAAATCTCTAACTCTTAAATTCTTCAAATCTTATCAATAATATAAATAATTCCAATTTCAATCCTATAATATAGAATATTTCATTTCTAATCTTTTCTTTTTAGTATTTTAATTAAATTAAATTATATTCGAAATCTATTATTTTCATTTCTATTTTCATTTTTTATTATTATTCCTTTAATAAAAGAAAATCAAACCCTATAATAAAGGAGATTGATAATTATATTACTGATCTTAATTTAATGAAAATTATATAATAAGTATAAAATAGATTATAATATCGATTTTTAATGTAATATATACTCTATATTATTAAAGATTACTACTCTCTTTTCGAATAATTAATAATATATCATATATCATAAGGGGGCTGTAATTAATATTAATATATTACAATTTCTATTATACTTTAGGATTATATTAGGGCGTGGATTCGAGATTTACTCTGACAGGGTTTATATAGTAGATCTACTATTCTAGATCTAATTTAGAACACTTACGCTTTTATATAGCGTAGTAGTAAAGTGAATTACTCCCGACAGATTACTCTTATATATATAAATTATATTATATTGAGATTTAAAGGATGTCATTTCCTTATATAAAGTAATCATAAATATTATAAAAAGTTTAAATTATCATAGAAATCTTTAAGAAATCTCTTTCACTGAGTTATTTAATATAATTACTCTATATAACACGTGCTATATAATAATAATATTAATTGTTTTCAATATTCTAAATAAATAAAATATATCTCTTCTCCTATATTAATAATGATAACTACTTAATCTAGATAAATACCAACTCAGTAATTATAGAAAAGAATGTAAAACAATTTCCTAATTCGAATGCGATATGAATTAGAGAGTTATTTCGAAAACATTGTCTTTGGCTTTTTTCATGTTCCTCAGAATTTCTATAAACATTTGAGAGGATAAATACAACGCAAGTCATTGTAAAATCATGCTCCTCTTCTTCATATATGATTTTAAGCTTACAATACTTCGCTCGCCGGTTACATCTGCGTCGGAGGAATACCATTTAAGAGAGCTTTCTCTCATCAACTCCCTAGTTCTCATTCAAATAAAATAAACTCGACTTTCTCCCGGGTTCGCTTTATAAAGATATATCGCATGAGAGTAACAACTTCTTCCTGATCTTAAAAGGTGTGTAGGAAAGATTGTCTCTACGTAACGAAACAAGAGGCGGAAGTTGAGTATCATTTAGAAGCACTTCGGTAATTCAAATCTCTTTTCGATATCGTACTAAATACATATAATTCTGATTGTTGATAGAAAAAAGACTCAAATCTTTATTTGATCTTTTCAGATTTTAGTAATTAACTTGAAATGAATTTATAATTCAATTAAGAAGTTCTTTAAAAGGTGACTCAATTCCCGCCTCTCATTTCAGTCATGTAGAGGTTGTCCGTGCAAGTCACGTGATAACGTGATTCTTCCTCTCTTGGTGCAAACGCACGGCTTCGACTAGTATTGCTTCCTGTTTGCAAGTCGCGACGTCTCATTTGCACCCCTCTATTCAAGTCCCAGAATTCTTATGTTTCTTTCTGTTATTCGAGGCAATAAGCCTCTATTATCAACATGGAGATGTTTGTTATGTCAAAGGCCCTGATGGCCCATCTTAAGAGAAGCTGTATGCTCAGCCAGTCTGGATTGCAGTCAATTACGGATTTTGAAGATATTACATCAAAAAAAACTCTAAAAACATAACAAATTTCGATTCCTGATCTTGCGGCTGTCACCACAGTTTGAATAACTAGTTGTTCGTCCTGCCAGTAACAAAAATGGAGGGGTGGTACAAAATGCAAAATGCAAATGTGACGATTTGGCATCTATCAAACCACCAAGATAATATTAGCAGCTCGTTAGATAATTGGCCGATTGAGGATATTGATAGGTTCCGGTCAGTCAAAATGTAGGAAGAGCGCAAAAAGTGTGTGCGACTGCATATATCCCGGTCGATGATTCGCCACAAGATACTAGGAAGTTGAAGTGTGTCAGAAGCTTACATATATCTAGGTTTTCTTTCTGTTGCATGTATAATGTTGAAATCGTAGCCTCAGCAATGTTCGTTACACCGACTCATCAACTGCACCGTATATATCATCTAAAGTGGTATAAAATCCATCTATCTTCTTCGAAATTGAACGTCATTTTTGAATATTCTTGTGGAGAAATATGGACCCAGTCTCAGCCTTGGGAGTCGCGGCAGCTGCAATACAGTTCATTGATTACGGCACGGGACTGGCTTTGAAAGGAAGAGAGATTTATAAGTCCGGAGAGCTTGGGGCTAATGTTGAACTTGGGGAGGCGACAAATCGCTTGCAAAACTTGGTTGAGCCTTTAAGGAGCTCACTTCATCTAGGAATTCAAAACGCACCTTCAGCTTCACCAGCGGATGCCGATCGAGCTCTCAAAGATATATGCACTAAATGCATCGACTTGTCCGAGGAACTTAGCGTTCTTCTTGACTCCCTAAAGCTTAATCTAAGTGTTAAGCATCCCAGGCTAGCAAGCTTCCAACAAGCAGTCAGGGCAGTTTGGAATGAGGAAAAGATACAAGGGTTAAAAATTCGTTTGGGTGATTTGCGTAGCAATCTCGAGACACATGTTCTTGTTGACTTGAGGTAAGTCCATGATCTTGTGAGCTAGTGAGATTAGAAGTGACTCACGTACTCTTTACCGGCCCCTTCATTCAAACAATTGAATCAAACTTATTTGGTACTAACAGGGCCATTTAGATATCGAATGATCCAAGTCAACCTCGAACAGGAAAACAATTTCAAAACGCTTGATAAAGCATTGCAAGTAATAATACAAGACCTTCTAGACAATCACCAGAGTAATTTAACCAAGTTTGAGCAAAACTTCAATCATTTGAGGTTGTCGCAGGAGAAAGAGCATTCGCATACTCGCAGTGTGCTTGTCGATCAGCACGCATCGAGGCATCGGCGCCAGACAGAATTAAGTATCCTTGAAAGTCTCAAATTTTCATCGATGAATCTTCGGCATGAGACGATTGCCGAAGTACATCAGCAAACTTTTGAGTGGATATTTTGCGATCCCAAAATCGAACACAAACCTTGGAGCAATTTCAGCGAATGGTTGAAAAGCGAGAATGGCATCTACTGGATTCATGGCAAACCTGGATCCGGAAAGTCAACCTTGACGAAATTCATAGTTGACGATCCTCGATCTAGTGACTACGCAGAAACATGGGCACATAAGTTTCCCCTGGAGACACCATCTTTTTTCTTCTGGAACAGTGGGGACGAAGCTCAAAGATCGCAATCTGGCCTACTTCGAAGTCTACTTTACGAGATTCTTGGAAAACATTGCAATCTTATGCCCGAAGTGTTCCCCAAGGAATGGAAGACTATATTTCAGAATACCTTGCATGATGTTCCCACTAAAGCAATATACTGGTCACTACCTGCACTGAAAAAGTCATTCCGGACATTGATCGAGAAAACGTCGGGAATACTGTCATTTTGCTTCTTCATTGATGGTTTGGATGAATATGAAGGAGATCATTGGGATATTGCAGAATACTTTTACGAACTATCCAAATCGAAACACGCAAAATTTTGCTTATCCAGCCGGCCCGAGATTGGATTTTTGGATACATTCGGAAGCATGCCACAACTAAAGCTCCATGACCTAACGTTTTCTGACATTACAGTCTACGTTCGAAATAGATTGGGGAACAACTTACAAATGCGACTTTTGATGAATAACAGTCCGTCGGATGCGTCGGCTCTGATCACCGAAGTCGTGGATGACGGGAATGGTGTGTTCTTGTGGGTGAGACTAGTCGTAAATTCTTTACTGGATGGCCTCCGAAAAAGGGATGATATTTCAACGCTCCGATTTCGCCTACGAGAGACCCCAAAAGAGATTGATGACTTATATGACCGTATTCTATCATCTATTGATCGAATACACATGGTAGAGGCCTCAAAAATATTTCAACTGAGAGAAAGTGTAATTCTACTTTTGTCACAGAACGGATCTCTAGAGTTGTATGCTGCCTACAAATTGAGCTTTAAGTCTTTCAACCAAGCTATACTTGCAGATGAAACATCTTCCTGCTCTCACCAAATATTCCCCAATGATTACGCGGAGAGTTTTGCCCATGTGTTACGTACCCGGTGTGGAGGACTTTTGGAATTGGCCGAGAGCACAGACAGCATTAGTTATATTCACAGAAGCGCTCGGGAATACATACAAAAGCCCAAGACATGGGAAATGCTCCTTACTTATACATCATACCTGGAATTCGATTCTTGGTTCACATGGTCAACTGTACACTTGCAGCGGATTAAGGGGTTTACGAATTATGATTTGTTTCTATCGACAGACAAATTAAGAATTGGACATGTTTGGAACGTCTTCATCTCGTGCATAGTAAGAATTGCTTGCACCAAAGCCAAAGGTCATATCCCCCAATTGGTTGAGGAGTTTGATAGAGCCGCTCAGCGGTACTCAGATTTTTATATACCATCTACTAATCAGCTGGAACATTGGTATAAGTCTCGATATAAATCTACTCCTATTGATCGTGATAATGTTAATTGTACCACCTATGATGAACGTTGTCCTGATCAAGATGTCTCCAAGGGTGACAGGGCGGATTTATGGAGTACGATGCACTTACTTTCGGTATGTGTTGAAGAAATTGTATCTCCTTATGTTGAGATGAAGATAATATCAGACCCGTCTTTGATACTACTGAAATATGATCCTCCTCTGATAGCATCCTGCTTTCGTTATCTTATAGATGGATCTAAATCAAGCTGGCCCAGATTGAGATTACTGATATTTCTGTTGGAAAACAACGCAAATTTTAATGAGATATATCACGGTCACAGTTTTTGGAAAATATTTCTTCACGGTAATCATACCCAATATTCTGATCTTGGGTATCATGGGGCTCTTAATGATATTTTTCGGGCAATAGAAATCATGCTCCAGCGCGGAGCCGACGTTGAAGTGTGTTGTATTGAAGAAAAGGTGACATGGTATGAAATGTTTCCCGGTCATCGCGAACATCGTTATGAAGATTTAGTACAACACTGCAAACAGCCGCTTCAATGCAAGGCTGTTGTTGACATCGGTCCAAGCGATCCGAGCGACGACAGCGCAAGCTGTGTCGGCGAAAACTACAACGAGCCATGGGAAGCACGACATTCCTTGGAACGGATCATCAAGGACATATTTGAAACGTATTATCCAGACCTTGCAGCGAAGCTACTAAGCCTAGTTGCGGAAAAGAAGGCTGAGAAACTAGCCATTGAGAAGCAGAGTCAAAATCAAACACCTGGCTCATCTGGCGGGAATAGAGGACGAAAGCAAAAGCAGAGAAACAGGAAGAAAGGCAAAGGAAAGCGTGGTCAGATTGCTTTGACAGACGATTCTGATTACTGAAAGGTTCGGAAGAAAAGGTGGCCTTAATGGATCGCTCTGATATATTCCGAACGGACTGGATGAATATATATATTGTGGAAAATAAGGAACAATCACTCTCATAAATTGCTGTGCTTCTCAGTTCCTTGGAGATGTTACAAAGAATCTTTCTTGAACTTCGATCCAAAGTTTGAGGTACTTCTACTCGTGGACAAAGGGGTATTGGTTTGATAGTTTGAAAAGATTTATGTTTTAATGTCGTAAAAGCTCAGGGTTTTGATGCTATTCTGCGGCGCAATGATCGAGTTTGTGTTGTGGACATGCCAATACCGTAAAATTTAATCAATTTCTCATGATTCCTGAAATATATTGCTTAAATCAAGATGTTGATGATCCAGTGATCCAGCCTAACATTGCTAGAATATTACTTCACGTGGCACACACTCAAAAAATACACTTCTCTTTTCGCAATGTAACTAAGGAAGACTTTTGTCTAGCCTCTTGAGAGAATTGTAGAGTAATAAAGTATTAGGAGAATCAGTTTTCTCTGGATTGCTGGATTGAAATTACGGGTTGTCATATGGTTGCACGTGTTTGGCGGGGTTGATTGTGATTGGATTTGTCTTCGTCTATGGAATGCAAAAACTAATTATAATCTTACAAAGTAAGATTACATCTTTATTAGCACTAAAAGGATATTCAAAATTTAACAATCATTTTATTCCTACAAATTCTTACTCCGCGAACCAAAAGTGGTTCAAATATAAACATTCCTTATGGAATTCCTCCAGCTTCTATATTCCGTCTGCATTTTCTACTTCATTCATTCAGATGATTCGAGCTCCTCATAGTTTATATCATTCTCGATCAACGAACACCACATCACCCATCGTTCACAATTTACCATCTTCTTCTCCTCATGCCGCCACCACCCCGTCCTACCCTCATAATCTCATCCAACGCAATCCAAACCCAAAATTTCTTCAAATATTCCCACCCCTGTCTCTTCGTTCGCTCTGGCGTAACACTCCAACCCACTATCCACAATGCCGCGATAACCACACTGACTACACCCCTCCTAATAAGTTCTACTCCTGCCCATTCAACCGCTATCAACCCTAAGCCTTCAATTAACACATATTCCCAATATTTCGAAGGTTGGTATATCCAAATCACATCCCCAGTTGATTGTACGATATTTCCGTTTGAGATCGTCGTGCGATTACCAGTCGGGAGAGTTATGGCAATGGGATATGTCTGTACCGCAACTTGCTATTGAAAAAACATGGCTGCGAAGAGGAGTGCGCCGGCGAGAATTCGATCGAGGAATAAAGAGCCTTCGATTGAGGAGGTGAGCCATGCTATTGGACTGAACGGTGTTGCAGTAGTATAGAGAAGAACAATCATAGCCACCGCAGAAAACTTTCGAAAGCCGGTCGATTTCAGGATTTGGCTGGAGGCACCTGTAGGCATGCTAGGCATGGGGCTACTTTGTGGTTCTGCTTGTTTGACCATCTTATCTTCGATTGAACAATTTTCGCTCTGTCTGTTTGTTTCTTGATGCTATTGCTACTCATTTTGCAAACCAGCGTGCGCAACCTGCCTTTTTAAACTCATGTTTTTGGATATTCATCGTGGTGTGGGTCACATTGCTGCCTTGAAGATATTCCGTATTTGGTCGAAATTGCGGCACAGCTGCCTACAGGAACTTTTTTTACGGCGTAGTCACCGAATGCACCAATAAATGATATTATGATACTGGACTATCGTAAGCATCATAATTTCCTGGCAAATGCCCTACTTACTGCAAGGCAGAAATGGCACTTATGGACCGAATACTGTAAGGCAATTGGAAGTTCCTCCGTATTCTGAGATTAGATAGCTACCTCAAACACAATCGACGATTCACGGTGCTCTTCGTGTACTGTGGTCGCAATTGCTTACGATCACATTTAGTTTTGCAATGCTTTCGGATCCGTTATCTTTGAACGTCAGTATGGTGGTATTCAAGTCAGATTTTGCCTAATGTGGTGGTGCCGAAATTTATGCTTGTTACCTACTTAGGTAGGTGCAAAAGATTATCGATCGCCCATGGATACCGAACCAAGCATAAGATTCAACCTTCAAGTGGTGGTATTGATTCTTCTTGTATAGTCTGAGCTTATCAGACATGAGATTATCACGATGGCGTTAATCATTTCAGACATCCAGACTTCATCGAAAGAATTTGTACTTGCTCGTTTTACATCTACATCTACACCAATCCTAGATTCATCATCATTTTTTTATTACCTATCACGTCTATTGACGAAGCACTGAATGCCCAGCTTTTGGTACTTTGGTATTTCTCAAATTGAATATCTCTTATGATGTTCATTACTGACTTGGCAAATGCAGAGACTTACACATTGCTGCGTCCAATAATTTACAGAATGGTGAACTAAAGAGCTTGGCGTAATTTGGTCATGCCAGACGAATGGTAAAGAGAGCAAATAACGATATCTCATTCATGTTGTATGTTTCCCTTATCTAGACCCTATAAGTTCAATTTTAGTATTAGAGACTCCTACAGGTCCCTGAGACTTCAAATTAGAATTAGAATTAAAATGTCACGATTTAGATATTTTCCGTTCACATCATACAATTCTTATCACATCAATACAACTCGAAAGTATCTCGGGTCTTTATTAATAACTTAATGGAATTAACTTTTTGTTTGCCCTAAGACTCCGATGCCATCTACTATGTACGACTTACCTATAGACTACCTTACCTTTTAGGGGAGGGGACTTACCGTATAATCATATCTTACCTTTCCTTTTCCTCCATCGGAGATTCTGCCTTATTATTCTTCAAACTTACTGATTTCCCTCCTCTTCTTTCTTTCTTGCCTACCAATAAACTCCTATACTCTGGGAGTTCCTGATATTTATCTTCGCTATAATCCCTTTTATACCTCTGAATCTATTGTTCCTTTCCCTCTTTAACCAACATGTCTCCCATGCAAAAGCACATCTTCCCACCCATCCTTCCTCAACCTCTCCCTACTCCTCTCTCTCATCCTCCCCGCCATCTCAATCGCCTCCCTCTCCCTCATCTGTCTCACCCTCTCTCGCTCCAAATCCCCCCTCTCCCGCTCCAACTCCTTCCTCTCCTTCCGCTTCCGCATACTCTTACATACACAACACCTAATCACACAATACGCTACAAACACCGCGACGATCACCATCGTGATGATCGCAGTTAGACTCCCTGAAGGCCGAGTAAATACTCCTTGATCGGCAGCAGATGTCGCTGATGCGGTGGCGCTGCCGGAAATGGTAGAACTGGTTTTGGATAGGATGGAGGTGGACAAGGTGGAGGTGGGATTGCTCTTGGGGGCGGAAGTGGATTTTGGAGGGAGGATTTCGAGAGAGAAGATTTTGGAGGAGGGGGCGGAGCCGGTTTCGAGGGCTTTGGCGACGGTGATGGGGAGGTGGGTTGTGATGGATGAGGGGGTGAGGAGGCTCGAGACGCTTGAGACGCTTGTTTGTGGGGGTGGTGCGGGCGCCATGTTGTTGTTTGGGGTGGGTTGATTGGTGGGGTTTGTATTTTTGTATTATTATACTTTTGTTTCTTCGTTGAGATGGAGAAGTATATATAGTAGCGTGTGTATAAGTGACGCAGTTGAAATTCTGGTTTAATTTGTTTATTTGTTTATTTATCTGTTTATGTGTTTTGTTTTGTTTTGTGGTATAGCAAAATCAAGAATGGAGACACGAAGATGCGAGGACAGGAAGGTATATATAATTTAAGTCAGGACGATGGTTGAGAATTACACAATATGGATAAAGATTCTCTTTATGCGTATCTCTGGAGCAAAGGTACTAGGTACAATGGAGAAAGAAAAGATGTTTTCCATTGTGAGAGCTCTTTGATAGAGGTGATTTAGATAGTGGTGGTGAAGGTCTTTGGAGGCTGACAATAGAGAGAGTATATATATCATGGAGGGCTTTGTAAGAGAACAGGAGAGAGAGCAGACAATTAAAGATTGCTTTGCCGGGAAATATATTTCAAGACAAGAAAGGTATTCTTAGTAGCGATTGAAGAGGTGAAAGAAAGTGATTTGTGTCTTGGATAGAATAAAGGATTTGTTTACTTAGGTATTCTATATTTGATTCCACCAGCACATCTTTTTCGATTCCTCGAGACGCGCATCTATAAATACTAATTCGATATGAAGAAAAAGATGTACAGACTACCCACTAAGTAGAGTACCTTACTCCAAACCAGAAATAGCGATACACACACACATACACACACACAAAGAAACATTCCTCCTCAAAGCATTCCCCTCTCACTCACCATCCAATATCTCACATCTCCGTACTTCAAACTTCACCTGACCTCCTTCCAAAATGTCATATAATATGAGTTCATATGATTAAAAATTAATATATGTATGTAAAGATGTATGAATAAAGTACCTACCTAAGGATGTGCATCGTAGCATCACTCCTGCTTAGAAATCAAGCACTATCAAGCTAGTTATGTAAATTCCGCTATTAAATTCCAAACGTATCCTATGGTATCATTTCCTGCGTTCCCATTCCTATTCCGATTCTATCCATTCCCTTCCCTCTCGCACCCAATTATCAAACTCTCCATCAAAAGTTCAGAATTCCAAAAGAAATAAGGGGTAACTCAATCCCATGCACATGACCTCGTCAGTATATGTATGTATGAATCATCCAGTGAATTCCAATCTGACTCAAAATACCTAGGTACCCTGTAATGAATAACACCACTGCATCCTACACAAATTTGATCTCTTTATCTTCTAAACAAGCGGAATCACCTCTTTCTCGGCCCATATACACCGATCCATTAACCTCGATCCTATGCCATGGATTTGCATTTGCGTTTCCATTCACAGTCGTCGAACTTGCATTTCCACTTCCTACAGTATCACTCCCTCTTAGACTCTCCGTCCTCCACTCACGCTTCTCCTCATCCCCACTCCTCTCCCTCGAATGATACGACGGAACCGTACTCTCGGTCCCCACCGTCTCTTCTTTCCAAGCCGCCTTCTCAGACCAGTAATTATCCCTTCCACTCTGTCTCTCATACTCCATCTCCAACTCTCTCTTCTCATCCGTCGAATCCACGCTCCCTGAGCTCCTTGACCTCGCTGGAAATGGTCTGCTAATCTCACTTTTCCTCACTGTCCCATTCCTGCCCACGCCCAGTTTACTCCCGTTTCTCGCGACCCCGTTTGCGCCGTCTCCCAAAACCTTTCCCATCATTTCATTCTTCGCTCTCTCTTCCTCTTCCCGTTCCTTTTCCTTGGCTTTGGCGAGTCTCTTCTGTATCCGCTTGCCGCGACATACTAAACACCATGTCAAAAGTCCAGTGATAATGGCGATGGCGACGATGAACGCGAGGATGGTTCCCCAGAAATTAAACTGCACTTCCCAGAATCCTTCGCTGGAGAAGGATTTCGGAGGGGATTCCGCGCGGACGGTAAGAGTTGGGGCGTTGAGGGTGGAGGAAAGATGTGGAATATACATTGTGGGTTGTTGTGATATTGAGGACGCCCCTGATGTAACGAGTGGGTAGGAGATGTATATTGTTCTCCGCAAGGGAATTTGTACAAAGTCGATCGGACCGATTGATCAACCTGAAAGTTAAATGATATGCTATCCAGCAATGCGAAAGTAATCTCTTGTGAGTTCGAAAATCAAATGTTGATCCAGCAATACTGAACAGGTAAAATGTAAAGTATCCAAAATAATATAAAACGAAGTTCTAATCAGTTCGAAAGTTCAAACTAAGTTCCAAGTCCCGGGGCCGAATCAATAACTTTATGATCTGGTTCCCAGGCTGACTCAAAGAAATCTTTATCGCAGTGGCCAGAGATTCACACAAAGACCTTGTGTTGCAGTCTTGTGATATCGATATTCGTGATAGGTCTAGTCGAGATGATGTATTCTTGACCCCTCTCCTAAAGGAAGTGTTTTTCTCAAAGAAACTGAAACGGGTGTTGAGAGAATGTGGATTCGTTGTAGTGATGGTTGAAAGAGTGGATAAAGAGATATCTATGAGATAATCTCCCCTGTGTAGTGTTATGCTGTAATGTCTTGAGCTCGAGCCTGTCGAGTCGATAAAGAAGTTGCACAAGTTGTATTGTATGCGTTGTAAGAGTTGTACAAAGAATAACTTCAGGAAGAAATTCCGTCTCCAATTCGCAGAAGACTAATCTCGTCAAGAGATACAGTAATAATATCTGCAATGAATGAATCGAATCCCCTCTTCAAATCTTTGTCCCAGACTTCCCACTCATAAAATAATCTCTCCTTGGGATAAAAAGAAAAATGTTCCACAAAACCAGTAATATCAATACAATACGACAAGAAGATCAGATGAACCGACCAAGGGGAAATTGAAACGAAACAGGAATTCACCCATCTTCATATATCGTCAATCACCCTCTCAAAATTCAATTATTGCATATCCACCTAACGCATTGTCTCATTCAACTGCACTTAGTACGGCTTGCCACTTGCTAAGCCCACCCAATCAAAATCTTCCCTCCTCATCCAGAATAGAAAAAAGAGAAGGAAAAGTTAATCAATATGCCACGACGCCGTTAAGCTTAATCGCCATTCTCGGGCTGGCTCCGTCGTGTTTACGGAGTCTTCGTTCGCGATATACCGTATGCATCCTGGCAGTATGTCAAGAAGAGAGAATACCAAGACCGGCCTTCGATATCTGAATGGATACACGCCGAGACGTGCAGACGTTGTGAGACTGAGATGTGTACTTTAGTTCCGCACATCTCCACCAAGATCCAAGCTCTCCTGGGTCCTCCATAATCCTTTTTTGTTTTGTGCACCCATTCTTGCTCCCAACTTTTTCCACAAGTAGTCACCACCTCCATTTATCCCTCCGACAATCCCCTGATGCAGTAACACGTCTCCATAATCCCATGATCTCCCCTACCCAGATCCAAGCTCCAGCACTTCCCCTCTCTATAACTTCTTCACATATATGATCCTCACCCCCTGACGACGTTTCCCCTTCGAGCCACCATTGTCTCCCGTCCCATCTCTCATTTTAAATTCCTCCACCCAGACTTACGATTTCGAAACCTCGATGAAGACTTGGCATTGCGCATGACTTCCCCAATTGGTTCTCATCCAATCTTACACCGAAACCATCCTGGAAATTCTTCACTTGCGTATTCTACCGATGCCAAGATCCAGTGCTTGGACTTCAAAGTTCCAACTCCACCCCCGAAACGATTCGAAACAACTTACAAGTAACCTTAATATCCATCCACGGAAAAGAACGAGATCCGAAAAGCAATTCTCAAAAGAAACCCGAAAGAAGCAAACAAGCAAGAAAAGAGCAAGAAATCCGAAAATCCAATCATACACACAATACTCATGATGACCTCTGCATTTGCACACTCTCAAATGATAGAAACTCAAATAAAATCTCTCCCATTGGCACCCCACCCATCCCGAGATTGATAAAATGATAATTCATCAGAACGACCAGCAATTTCCAAAGAATGATTTAAGCTTCTTTTTCGAATCAATAACTTATATATAATTATAACGCTAGAAGCGATCTAAAGGAAAGTGGTTGTAGAATTGACTGGTTTAGAATGTAGAATTATGGAATCTCACCTATCTACACAAAGGGGAGAAGATTCAATTCAATTGGCTTAAGGTTCTAGGGGTCCTTTTCAAAATTCATTTATACTAGGCAATAGGAACCAAGTAGCGTATCAAACTCCCCTTTTACATCATCTTCCTCAGTCCAAACTACAGACTGCAAACTACTTTGTACAAAATATCCAACTTCTCATCTCATCACGTATAATGATTTGAGCTCAATGACTCCTCATACAGCCAAAACATACACTCAGCCCCTCTCTGCCGCGGCAACACCCAAACTCATCCATGCCCTTGTAGTTTACGACTCAACAACTCTTACGCCTTTCCTGCTGTACAAGTATCGTGAATCCCGTTACATACAATATAGCAAGACATCAAGAATAAATCCAACATACTGCCGAGGCCAGATACCTAGATAGATACGCAATCCTACCTCCAGAAACCCAGAAACTCACACCCAATCTTCTCAACATTCAGATCACCATCTACAACCAACCATATAACTACATAACCAACCAATCACAAACTTCCCTCCTCAAATCTCAAAATATCAAATCCCAATTCATCATCTCTATTGAAAAAAAACAATCATAATTTTAAACTATTAATACAATAAAATCTTTTGCAATCTCTAATACCTAACACTATGCATAAAAACCACAACCACAACCATAATAATGACAATCAAAATATATAATAATATATTTCCTATCCATTGATTGATCTTCTTGCGCGCTGCGCACTCATCGTCCATTCAATCATCCATCCATGTTTCTCATGAACCAACTAACCAATCTAATAAATATATTTTGTCCCTCCCCCTCCTTTTCTCCCTCTCCGCTGCAAATCAAATCCCAAACCCCCATCACATACAACCCATAAAGGAAACAATATAGTTCAAAAAGGAGGGTATTTCAGAAATGAATGAAAAATGGAATATGTGTGCATCTATGGATATAAAATGGATGTCAAATAAATGAAGCTAAGCTGCTTCGTAACGCATGCAGCTGCCCCATGAATCGTACCCAGTGGCACGTGAAATTGTCGTAACGATTAGAAATTTTCTTTACCCCAGCAGAAATTGAATCCTATGCCAGTATTAGTACATTGCATCGACGTAAAAGGAGATAAATGGAAAGTACTGACCAGGCTCACTATACATATTACACTTGATATGCAACTGACTACCCAACACCTTTGGACCACAGAAGAACACACCCGCTTCGCTGGGACTATGAATCTTCCTCACACTCTTGAAAATCATATCCCAATTAGGTCTTCCAAAATTGGTTGGTGCTCTCAAACCGGTAATCGCATCACGATCTGCATTTGCATCGTTGATCATGATATTCGTCGCATCATCCACCTTAATCTTAGCCGTCAAATATGTATGAATCTCAATCCTATTGTCCATATCCTGAGCTTCGATTGCCAATAACAGAGAACGGAACCATTCGAAAGAACCGAAATCACGGCAGATCCAGAAGAAATATACTTTTCCGAGACGCGTCTTCTTTTGAGGATAGTTCATGCGGTACCAGATGGATTTGAGAATCGAGGCGAAAGGAGTAACACCAATACCGGCACCACAAAGCATCGCGACTTCGAATTTGAATACATCCTCAGAGGCGGAACCGAATGGACCATCGACATAGACACGGGGTAAGATACGACGAATAGCCGAATCAGCTCCATCAGATCCTGGCGAGCCCTGATTGACACCAACAACTTGGGATCCTCCCTTTGTATCCTTTGGCTTATCGAATTCACATCCAAGGGCTTTTCCAACAGCTCTAGTAAAATCTCCTACCATTCTGATATGAATGGAGATATAATCTTCTTCGGGGGCCGATGTGAGAGTGAAAGGATGGTATTGATAAATCGAGACTTCGGGACAACAGAAGAAGATGTATTGACCAGCTCTGGTCTTTGTATTCTCTTTCTTGATTTGAATTTCGCAAACGTTGGAAGGATGTTGAACGACTTTCGACACATAGGTCTTGTGCTTCCCGCGAATTTCACGTGCAATACGTTCAGCGAGGTAAATGTAACCACCATACATCCAGTATTGCCAGAAAACACCAATAGCCGATGTACCAACACTAACACAGTAAGGTGCGGTATCTGGTTGAATCATACAGAAAGCTCCGTGAACGGACCAGAATACAAAGAAGATGACGAAAAAGTGATGGGTATACCAGAAACGTTCGAAGTTTGCCCGACGATACTTTTCGTATGAGGTAATAGCCATAGCCATAAGAGCAACCAACATAACATATCCGGTCCATCCAGGTCCACTCACAAAGTTGGCAAGGAGGAAACCACCAAAACCAAGATTATTCTTCGCCGAAATTTGAGCAAAGTTGTTCCAATGCGCAATAGTGTGTACCCAAGAGAAGAATACAATAGACCAAGCTGTAAGCATATGGAAAGTAATATTCTTATCGAATTGTACAATGCCGTTCAAAGGAGTTTGACGTGCCAAAGAGATCAAGGTACGACAAACCGGGAACAAAATCATAGCAACATCGAAATGTAGCGTCAAAGCAGCGGATCTGGCAATCGCATAGGTGACGGTAAATGTACTTCGAGCAATACCAAAACTATCCTTGAGCTGATAATTCAAGAATCCGAATGTGAAAACCATGACATGGAGTAAAGCGAAAACGAAGACGAAACTGAAATCATGTTAGTAACTCGATGCTTCCCATAATTCTACTAATAACCCACAATCGTCGATATCCCTCGTTGACCATCCATCTGTCGAATTTCTCCCTCATCGTCAATTCCCTCGGCATTTCCGCCGTCATCTCACCAGACATCAACATTCTCGTCAATGGTGGCCATCTTGATCTCTCCGAAACCCTCACCGATCCCGTACTCAT